CATTATTGCACCAATTCAATATGCAATGACTTGTGCTAATAAAGGTTACTAGATGCCAATTGCGATATGGTGGAGCATTTGAGACTCTTTGAAAATAAAAGCTGGCGTTTCAGCACGAATCCAAAATTGGCCTACAGAATTCTTCAGGATCGACTTTTCAGAAATTTCCATAACAAGATAATGCGCTTTTGAAGATTAATTGATATCAGTCATTGCTTGTACTTCCCCCATGTTGCATTATCCGCCTCAAGAATCATACACTACCTGACAGCCTCGGCTACCTACATCAAATCTTTTCTTTCAAAAATTGAAAAAGACAAAAATTCTACTTTGCGTGTTTTCCTTTCTATGGAAACGAAATTAGCAAGCAATCATGTTATCTCGAAAGTTATAATCAAGTTGTCTACATAGCAAACTCATTGTCAGTAGGATCTATTCATTGCTATCACTGACGTCCAGTCAACTCGATATAAAAGATTGGAAAAAAAAGTAAACCTTTGCAAGATAGCAGTTTTTACAAGTATTTTGATTATCTATCTTTCAGCAATTGATCTTCACAGCAAGTACGATTGGACCAAGGATGAGTTTCGCTCAGCTTATAGAGGTTTTTTATGCACCTTCAGCGTAATCCATAGGTACAGTGAGCGCACGATTTGGGACCACCCATGAAATGTACATCACAGCAAAGAAACCTGTCGGCTATAATCAGACGGTAAGAACATAAAATGTTGATCTACTCCCAAACCCCATCCCTCACCTTGTTGCTAACATTGACATCACCTTCTTCCTGCTCCCAACACATACTCAAAAACGACTGTGGTGGAATGTATCAGACTACTGCTAACTCGATTTATTTTCTTTGCGCAGGAAAAGCGGGTTACTGGCGCAGCGCTACCAATAATCTATCAACAAAATACGACAGTAGTATAGAAATAAAACAGTGCTGATTGCTCCAACAACCAATTTTCTCATGTGATGTTGCGGACATCAGCATTTAGCCCTCTTATACTCTCAGCTCACATTTACAGCCGAGTTTGCAGATGGAATATATTGCCTCAGTGAGCAGATAATAGGTATAATCTTTATCTTGGGGCTGACAGTTCCACGAAAATGGAATTACTCGCTGCGTGAGAATCCTCAAAGCTTTTGAAAGGAAAAAACTTGGGAGCCTCGTCTCTAGCATATTCCTCGATTCAAAAGACTTGTTCACTTTTATACCCCCTTGCGCTATTGTTGTTCCAAAAGGTTCTGATTGGTGTATTCTGAAGGAGCCCATGATTCATCACATCTTGAACAACATTCAACAAATGTGCAGACGATAACCTGGGCCGTAGTTACTAATAATTTCCAGAGTAATGCGAATAAAGAAGAGCAAATAGACTAGATTTTGCTGGGGTTTTTTGCAAAATACACTTCAAAACGCAGAAAACGCAATGGCACTGCACTGCTTGCAGATCTTGCTGAAACTCCGATATGACAATAAAATTGCCCCAGTGATGGCATTTAAGGAATTCGAGATGATGCAAATTTAGCACTAACGTGAAAATCTAGCATCACACTGAACAAGGCAAGCGACTACAAAACTCCAAGTTTTTAGGAATGATTCAGAGTTTCGGCGAGTGGATAGCGTGCTTCTCAACAAATCAGGAGGCAGGAGGCATTACACATTCGAAACTTTCACCGTTTTTCCCAAGGCGTTACCCAAGTACAAAGGTATGCCGTCTGCAAAACGCAGAACTTGCAAACCATTACTTTTTTCTTCTGCAAACATTTCCATTTGCGAGAGCGCTGGAAACGCCTAAGTATAAGCACTTACGAGGCAAAGAACACTTAAAACGACGAACTTCTAAAGCAGCGATGGTCATGTTTACAAAACAAGTTTTCTAACGCCTTATTACACAAAGTGAGACCAAATGTCAAGCAGTTTGCTAATTGTAAAATCGAATTACTCAAAAACATGCAATGGTATTGTCGGAAACCGGTGCAAGTAGGCAATAAAAAGGTGATGTAAGTCATAAAGGAATGTCACAAAGCTATTTGCACTACTTCTGATTCTTTTGTTTTCTTGTTCTAATATGATGAATCCAGAATTAGAATGGTTACCACTCAACCTTGTCGGTTGCCACATTCCTAACAAAAAGAAACTAAACGTTGAGAATCGAGGGTAGCTACATCTAATTAACCTATTACAGCCGGAAGAAAATTTGAAAATCATTTTCAAAAATTATTTCCGAACTTTTTGAGCGCTTCCATTTCCATAAAAAGGGTTGACACGAGCTAAAGAAGTTCACGGGAAATCGAAGTCGTAATATACCATCCGAAAGGATAATCAGATTGAAAAAATCATGTAAGCTTGAGTTACTGCCTCTATAATAACAGAACAATTAGCAGAAAAAAATTCTGTCTTACTTGTGACTCAAAATAGAAGCTTAAAACTGATTTAGCATTAAATGAGTTAAATGACTGACAGTTATTAAGCAAAGAATCATAGGAAGACGTACGGTGTCCAAACGGAGAGCCTATGGAACTCGGAAGCCAAAAGAAATAGCACTGAACAGAATTGCATTGCACCTAACTAATCTTATAAATGTTGTTCTTGTTTAGAGCCCCGCTAGTGCAATGAGTCTAGCAAAAATACATCCCTCAGTCGAAGTCAAAAATTCATACTTTCCTGGGCTTTATCGCATTTCGCACTCTATTTGACTATGACTACCTCACAAATCTCAGGAAAATAAAACTTCTTAGAAAGCGTGCGGAAGCGCACTATCTGGAACCATCGTATGGAAGACAATTCCTTTTCAAAGAATGACTATCGTCAGGTCCTCTAGGAGTTTTGGAGTTATAGACGTGTGCAGTTCAAAAAATGTCCTCCAAAAAACCATAACTGTGCACTAACCTGCGCCCCAGTGGCGTACAGGGAAGGGGGGAGGGGGTCTTAAAAGTTACTTAATTCAGTTATAGAATGTTCAAGTGACTTGTTTATACTTGTGAATAATCAGGAGAATGTTTGATTTTTCAAAAATTCAATTTACCCTTATAAAAATTTTTCGGGGGCGGCAGTCACGCTAGAAAAAACTTCTTCTGGAATTTCGGGGTTATGGGTCCGCAAAAATTTTAGCATACCAAAAATTCCTTCGGCGGAAGTTCTAGGTACGCCACCGTTTCTCTATCATTAGCGAGTTCAGTGCCTGAAAGTCTGAGTTTTAGCCTTGAATTTTGGAAAAGAGAGGAAAGGACAAAGTGACAATCGGGCTCCGCACCTGCACGAACATCTCCACGCTACTTGTATATCAAACTAACAAATTTGTGCTAGGTTTTTCCTGACAATTCTTTTCATGCTCTTCCTACATCTTTCACATTCCTCATCCCTCTATCAATCCCTTCCCTTACTCGTACACGAACAGCAGCTAAAAATGTGCCTCCTGCAAAACTGCACATCGCTCAGCAGAGTATTGTTGACATGTCGGCTGGCCAGCATATTGCGAGAGAGGTTCTTCAAGCAAAGTGCAACTCAACGTCGCTTAACATTTCTGTTTAGTAGGTACTAGCTGCTATAGTATGACACGCTAGTCCTACGTTGCAGCTGTAGCCTCAAAACTCGTCTAAGGGCCGCATGCACTAACATTCCCGCGGGGAGGGGATCGCAGCTTAAAATAAAGCTTTATATTTCGAAACTCCAGATACCTGGATTTCACGTTGTGTACCTATCCGTAAGTATTCCTATTACCCTTCACTATGAACATGTTGAACAGGAGCGAGAAGCTGTACGAACCGCATTTTCCAGCTTTTGTATGATCCCTGATGATCCCCTTCGCTTTTCTTCAAAGTCATTTTTCTTTTTCCGAAGTTAACGAAGAATCTCCAGAGTTGTGCAGATTGTCTAACCCGACAGTGCTAAGCATGTTGCTGCTAAGAACAAATGATGTTTTGAGGTCATGAAATTTGCGATGATCCACAGGTCGAAATTTGAGGCTTACCGAAAAATTCGACTTTTCAAAAACTCATTTGTTCTCATCAGCAACATGCTTAGCAGTATTGTGTTAGATGTTCAGTATAACTTTGGAAGGTTTTCGTTAACTTCGGAGAAAGAAAAATGACTTTAAAGAAAACCGCCGGGGATCATCAGGGATCATACAAAAGCTGGAAAATGCGGTTCGTACAGCTTCTCGCTCCTCTTCAACATGTTCATAGTGAAGGGTAGTAGGAACACTTAAGGATAGGTAGACAGCGTGAAATCCAGATATCCGGAGCTTCAGGATATAAAGCTTTCTTCTGAAGCTGCGATCCCCTCCCCGCGGGGATATTAGTGCATGCGGCCCTAAGCCACACCAAAATTCTTTGAAAGGGATCAGGATCACAACAACTCCAAAAATTGCTATGTTCGGTTGAAGATGAAAGCGCAAAGTCCTAATCACTTTCCAGACAAGATTTTGGAAATATCGGCCACCAAAAACAAGATATTATTTTTCCAAAATTGATATGCTTTTGTCTTTGTCTACCGATTCTTTGCGGCCTGAACCTAGGTCGAAATTCTGGCACAGCTAAAAAATGTTGTTTTTTTAATCAAAGAGTAAAAATTATTTGTCCACCTTACAGTCCGTTCATATTCTGATGCTTCGAGGTTTTGACTAGAATCGAAAAGCAGAAGGACTTATGAGGATAAATGAAAAGAGAGGAACACGAGCGACAAAATAAAGCCAAAATTATGAAATAAGCGGCGAAAATTCATCCATCAAAATCAACTCAAACAAATGTTACTTGAACTAGCTCAGAAGGAAGACAAGCGCTGTGAACTGTGTAATGTTTGGAGAAATAGAATGCCATTCAATTGATCAGGGGATATATCGAAGGTTACGTGTATCTTGACTGGCGTGATTGTAGTCAATACTTTATACCTAGGTAATTCAAATCGTATACCACATTTCGTATCAAATTTGAAAAGCATTTTGCAATAAAAAAACTTGAGAATAGTGTAAAAAACCAAATATAAGTTTTCTCACCCACAAAGTCCATCCAACTCGCAAGGTTCCATTTGTGGAAGAACGCTGAGGGATGAGGATTTCCAGGGCATGTTCTTGGCAAGGCAGAAAATGTAGGAAGCGATACGGGTCTAACATCTAAGACTTCAGTGGACCCGCTTTCTAGCACCTAAATCGGGGATTTCAGCTGTGAACAATGAAGGAAAGGTTCAGCAAAAAAAATATATACCCTGATTTCACGGGTACAAGACGCACCTTTTTCGATTTTTACGCGAGCCGCTCAGACGGGTGGTTGGGTTTCGGAAGACGAACCTTTTGATCGCGGAATTCGGTGTGTTCACGTTGGTCGGGTTTAGAAAAAAACAGGTGCGTCTTGCGCTCGTAAAATTAGGGTTTTCAGCATGGTTGTTGCATGAAAGGGTCTCATAATTGTAAGTCAGTGTCCAAAAGGGTGCGCAAACTAGGAAACTCCCCTACATAGAGACAAAGGCCGAAGGTTTTCAAAAATAAAACCTGTCTTAAGTTCTCAGTCAGTCATCTAGCATGTCCCATAAAAGATGTACCGAACGATTAATCGCTTACTACTCTTTGTCTGACAGTCTTTGCGAGTTTTCGATACCATAATGTAGGACTGGCTTCAGCTTAGATTAGCAATGGAGAACAATCAAAATATCCTCTTTACATCTGAAGGATTACGGTTACATGCTCAAACGTTTAGTGCAAATTAGAGCACCTATCACCTCCAAAATTATCCGAAAAAGCTAAAGACTCTGTAAAGAAGATAAACATTGCTGATTGCGTATATGTAGGTACAAGCTTTCGCATCACCGTATCCTTAGTTCAAAATTTAAGACGAGTACCGTGACAGCGGACTGTCCAAAAACGTGACTATACCGTACATCCTGTTCTACTGTACAGCGTTATTTACTACAATCAGCGGGTCTAAAACCATAAAAGTCTCCAGACGTTTCGGATTTTTCCATGAATGGCGGACATCGTTCTGGAGGTTGCCACCGTAATCCTACAGCATCGAAAAGAGATGGTGATTCAATTTACATTGTAAATCTAATTTGAGCCAGCTCTAGAATAAGCTAGCCAATTGCCTGTGAAAGCTATTTAAATAAGAGGAATATTAGAGATCGGACGTACATTTCCTGGAACACTTTGTACATCCTATGCAAATCCCTATTTGCAAAAACATAGTTAGAAACTACATCCCCACACCCCAGAAAGAAGTCAATAACCGCACTTCAGATTCACAAATGAGCAGCCATTGGGATAAATGGCCGAAGGTTCTAATTTACGAAATCATAAGGAAGGCTTCATAGGGTTATGACTTTTGATGTCGCTTCAACTCAAGCGATATTATATACCGGTTCACAGCACCGATAACCCCGGAGATAAAACCATTTGTTTGTGTAGACCAGTATTCCTCAAAGAAAATCTTCTCGAGTAAACAGCCCTTCCTCTCCGAAGGGATGTTTTTTGAACATGAACCTCATAGTCGAGAAGCTCATTTTCTTCCGCGAGCAGCGGTACTTTTCTACTATTTATTCTACCTAAATATCCAATTCTGCCCAAACTTCACCCTTCTATAGACTAGATAGGAAATGCATGAAAACATTCTACATTTTGCACTACTAGATTTTTCAGCGATGCATCTGTTTCACAAAGATGAAAATTCTCACTAGCCACTGCACAGTTGATACTACATTGATATAATGACTTTGTTCTGATACCTTCTCGATTAGAACGAAAATCGCAAAATGGAATTCGTTTGTACTGAGGCACGTCTGTGCCACCATTGATGAATATGAATAATCTTTGTTTTTGCGGAATCAATGAATGTTGCCTGTTCAAGGCCCTACTAGAATTTTCCTATAAAGTTTAGAGGCCTTCAAAATTGTGCGCAAGAAAAAGATCCCTTGCCAAGAAGAAACTCCATAGACTCCATAAGCAAAATTCCAAACGATGTGAAAGGGAAACATTTGCAGTAATTTGTGATGCCTTGGAATTTTGAAAGCATTTGGAAGCAGCTGCCAATTTTTTGAGGCATTTTCAAAGTAGTTATACAATAAATTGTGCGTGAAACGCCAAACAGAGACTTACCACACTCATTTATCTACAATCAACAGTTAGCCATTTATTCACCGCATATGACTACACGAATTGGAGGGAGATCAACACTGATGATGATCGGATAGAGATCTGGATGGAATGCACACATGGACAATTGCGCGTACGCACGGAGAGGCCGAATGCCGAAAACGTGGATGATGTGGTGGAGGAGCAGGAGAGGAGTAACGAAGGGGGAGATGTTCAACCCGGACAGAAATTGTAATATTATAAATAGAAATCTGACACTGCGGAGGTTTCGAACTACGATATCGCGGATAGATAACAAACACAAAAAGTTCAAGACAAGAGTTGCGATGTTGGTTTTGAGATCAGGGCGAGATTCTCTTATGCGCAGTTTGCACCACTTGAAGCTTCGAGTTTACATGACCGAGAAGCGGCTCGATTCCCGCGTATGGTGGTTCTTTCGTGCCGTGCAGCATCAACGAGAACTTCTTCAGCGTTCCACGATGCTTGCCTGGTCCCTAAACAACAACAAAAAATACAATAGACAAAAGCAAACTTCAGATCAGAAAGCACCGCACCTGGAATCTGACGATGAGTTTCCACTTTCCTATAGGGTTCTCACCCCAAGTGTGAGTGGTCATGAACGGCCAGTTGGTAAAGCCGTCTTTAGCATCATCGTCTTTTGGACGTCGAGACAGAATCATAGTGCTAGAAGTAGAATTTAAAAAAAAACATCAAGCAAGTTTTGGCGGAAGATAACCTATATAACGCTTGGCAAGAACGTGATAAAATTGAAGAAAGATATAAACAGAATCCCAATTTATCATAATAATTCATGCGACCAACCGTGTTCCCATAGGTGACTCCAAATACAGCGTAGTGTCACCTCTTCGAGTCGAGTTGAATGACACTACAGCTTGCACATGTTCCAAATATCTGACTTCTGTCGCCGTGCCCATGCATGCATCCGTATTGAGTTCAAGGACCAAGTTACCATCTTCAGGGATTTCACTGTAAATTGGTACGATAAGAGATCCAGGTATCAAAAGACAAGTTTTTCAAGATAATGCGAATTGTTGATCTCCGTTCAAAATTTTATGCATTGCAGAATGATTTGCGATGTCTTAACCGCAAAGCTTCTTTTTCTCAACAATGCACATGCCAGTCTGCAGCTGGCAAAAACGTGGATAATTATCCCGCAAAGAAAAGGTCTGCAAAGCCATAGCGCAAACAAAAGATAACTGCATTAGTCGGAACACATTTACTTCAAGCACTCGCGTCACTAATCTATTTACCTAATTTTTCTTCCTTATAAAGTATGCAGGACTATAAACTATGACGTCATCTAATGGTGCTGAAAATCGCTCTCACAAGTTTTCTTCAGCAAGACGTAGGGAAGACATGAGTGCGTGGTATACACAACATTGCAATGTCGCTCGCTTTGGCTATTTTGAGCTGAACGCAGCGGTCACATTCATATTCAGATTTCCAAAGTAGTCCAAATTGTTCCAAGAGAGTGGACGAAATACAAACTATACTTTAAAGGAAAAAAAGAAGCAGCAATTTTATTAGAGAAGCAGAAATAGGCAAAAATGTAATAGATATGATTATATATGGACTTACTGAGGTGTGTCGATGGTACCACCGGTGCAATGATAACGTGGTGGTGCTGTTTTCCAGACCATCGCGAGCATTACCTTCAAAAAGACAGATTGCTGTTACGATATACCAAGTTCATAAATCATCCATAGAATCATGCCAAAGTACCCACCATTTCAGCGGCATCTAAAACGCCAAAGCCGAACAGGTGATTATATTCGAGGCCGACTCCATTCATCTGCCATTCGAAGTGCGTACAATTACCTTTTGACTTCTTCTCGTTAGCGTCCTGCAATCATTTAAGACAGATACCTAGGATATATGATCGAACGCTCACAGCTCCGTTACTAACCCCTAGTCCCAGATCTGGCAAGTCGCGGCAACGTCCATCGAACAACGAGTTTCGAGTCGATGTAAGCACCGTAAGATGTTGAAGGTCGCGCCTGAGAAAATAAGAGTAAGAAACAAATAAAAATTTTGAGGTAGGCGGAAGAGTAACGTACCATGTCAGCTTGGGATTAGCCTCAAGTGCCAAGGCAAACACTCCGGCGGCTTCTGGAGCGGCAGCTGAGGTTCCAGAATGAGAGCGTGTGCATCTGTAAGTGACTTATGAGCATACAAGATATAGCCAGCCACTACAGATTTACTTACCTTCCATACAAATCGGTAGTAGCAACGCCAGTTTCAGGATTCCTACCACCATTTGAGAAAGTTGATGCCAAGGTGGATGAGCATGATCTAGAAAACAAAGCATTGAAAATATTCACGATGAGACAATCCCATTTTCACTTACTCGTCATAGTGAGCGTTTTCACCGTTGTTAATAGCACTGTTAATGGAGATGGTCCACATTGACGCTGCATATCCATCACAGTTGCAGTCATCGTCCTCACCACCATCTCCAGACGCCCAAACGAAGATCGAACCAAGACCATTTCGACCCTCAAATGATACTCTAATGATTAGATGCAAAAATTTAGACAGCCAGTCAGAAATTCGCACGCAGAAAGCATGAAGGGCGGGCACACATCATACGATCTCATCGCCTCATGATTCCCCCGAGAAGACAGCTATCACAAGTTCATTGCATGACAACTATCTTGCATTTCGGTTGTAATAGTTTTTTGACGTGAGTAATTGCGTATAACTACCACAACCGAGATGCAAGATGATCGCAGGCAATGGACTTGTGACAGCTGCCTTGTTGGGAAAATAGTGAGGCGATGAACTTGCGTAATTATGTCTAATTTTTAACGAGTATATAAAGCGACGTGAGGAAAAAGAACGATTTCGCTGAATGCGCACTGAACGCATACCTATCAAAAGTAAAGGATTTGAATTTAATGGGACATAGTTATTGAGTAAGCGGAGATCGACAACTCATCGAACAAAATTGTCAACAAGTATAATTGATCTATTTCAATCCATTAATTTAGGCAGAATGTGAAGCAAGAATTTTGGCTAAGTATTCGGAATCCCCTCATGACATTAATGTTCACAAAGTGGGAGCGGGGGCAGCCATAAACATAAGTACGTCCTAGCGTCACAACTAGTGAATACAAAATTATTAGAAGGAGCAAGTGCACTGCACTTACCTCATTGACACCTTTCACAATAGCCCTCATCGTAGCATTACGTGGCCCGTCAACCGTCTTGCCGTCATCTGTTGGACCCCAGCTGGCAGAGTAGATGTGGATCTTGTTAGGTTCATGACCCATGGAGTTGGCCTAAACTTCCATGCAACAGGCTATGATGTTGAGGTATTAAATGCGGTCCAACCTCGATGAGATCTGTCATATAGGGCTGATCAAGCATCCGGATTCCAGCTACTTTGCTATCGTAGGCTACACCGACGCCACATACACCATTGTCACGAGCAGCTGCGATCTCTCCAGCGCATCTGAACATGTGGAAGTATTTTCCATGCGACTGAATCAGAACACGAATTTACCTCGTTCCATGGGAGTTGAACCAGTCGTCAGTGTACCTTGGGTAGGGGAAAGGATCATTTGATGAAAAGTCATAACTGGCTTCAGCGTTCTGCAACAAGAATATAAAGCTCAAGACTCATAATGTGAGAATAGATAATAGGTTAGTAGATTAATTCGAAAAAAAATTATTCAGCAAGTCAGGTGGTAAAAAGGAACCCGTTTTGAGGCAGTTTGTATCAGAGAGCCCCGTCCATACTTTACGCGATTTCTCGACCGCGACCTGAGAGTTTGCCAAACGCAGATGAACACTTTCACACTACAAATGCATGATGTGTAAGATCTTGGCACCTTCGTAGATTAATAAAACGCTCCAGTTTCGAATACAAAATGCGCCTACGATGAATAAGCAGCTGGGATTTTGCCGAACCGGGTGTGACTGAAATAGCGTGACTAAGGTCCAGGATCATAAACTTTTTAATTGAAACAGTTGGTGAGCGTGCTATAAAAGGAACGCTGTTCAGTACTCCTCCAAGGACACAACCCTAGTGGTCGCGACAGACATTTGGAAATTGAACATCATAATGTAATCTAAGCGGTAATATTCAAAACGATTGCTATAATAGATATATGGTGTGAACATCATGCCTCATTTGAGAAAGAATGAAGAGAGATATGATTCAAAAAAAACTGACGAAATTGTTCTTGATATCTGGATGCATGTAATCAACGCCGTCATCCATAATTGCTGTCGTTATGTTCTTTCCGGTGAAACCCAATGCCCATGCCTGAAATGGAACCGTGCAAAGAACAAGAAAGGCAATTTCAACGACAATAAAAGCAACCTTTTCCACATTGAGGTCCAAACGAGCCTTTCCGCCAGCTTGTCCGGTGTTTTTCTGAACCAAAAACGCTTTAAAAAGGAACGAAAAGTTCAGCGGTTTCAAGATGTCAATCAAATAACATGCGAACTCCTTACCAGATACCATTGATAGTTGTACAATGGATCAGTCGGTGATTGCACAGAGGAGAAGTCAAACTGGCTCTGTAGACGTTCAGCCAACGGCCTATAATTTCAGTACATCCGCCAAAGGGTCTCCTCGAACCGTATTAAAAAGTACCTATATCCCCGCTTTGTGCGTTTATACCCGGTTAGTTGTTCGACGTGCAATACCTGAAAGCTCAAGCTTTTACTGCAAGTCAGAAAGTATATGCGAAAAGATAGAACATGGGTGATTATGCTTTATTCTCATCCTGCTGGCTATAAAAATACAAAAAAAAACGAACATATATGTGAAGTGATAAAGCGGCCGTTACTAACGTTATGGAAGTGTCGCAATATGTGAAAGTTTTAAAGGCAATGTCCGGGCAAAAACTCGATTTTGACATTTTGTGCTTATACGGGCCTATTCGGCATGCTGAATCCGAAAATCCACACTGGAAAGCGCGAAAACGGCAAAAAAAAAGGCACCAGCGCAGGAGGGAAACAGCAAGTGGGCGGGGTCCTCCCCACTGTGAACCAGCTCCCAGCTTTCGGAGCAGTCGTCTCGATTCCGCTAGCCGTTCTAACATCGCTACCATCCAAGTGCGAATGATTGACTTGGAACCGGGAGCAGGAAGATTGCTCCGGAAGCTGGGAGTGTGAATTCATAGTGGGGAGGATCCCGCCCATTTGCTGATTTCCCTCCTGTGTTAGAGCCGTTTTTCTCCGTTTTTGCGCTCTCCAATGTGCATTTTCGGATTGAGCGTAGCGAATAGGTCTGGGTAAGCACAAAATCTCAAAATCGAGTTTTTGCCCGCACTGCCTTTAAAGGCGCAGCTAACATTACATTCACAATGATCCAGATTGGATCCGGATCTGCTCCGGATTATGGGCAACTATAAACGCACAGCGCTCGCTTTTCTTTCTGGCATTATGTTTTCTTCAATATCATTCACATACAGGGATAGAAGAGGTAAGCAGATGGGGAAGATGAGCAAAAACTATAGATAACTAGCTGGCATGCCCGGCTCCGCCGTATGTTCCGAGTAGAAAATTCCATTTCTTAACCGATCCGAACCAAACTTGGCACACATACACTTCGGGCCCCGGCGGGTGTCACAGTCCACTTTTCGTTATCGATTGATGTCGATTTTATCGATTTTTTGCAAAATTTGAGCTAGGGGGCTGGGATTTGGCACGGGGAGTAATCGAGCATGCTGATTACGAATACAATATTAGTTTTCAAACCGTGCATAACTTTTATCGATTTTATCGATTTTTTTGCGAAATTTGAGCTCAAACTTTGCAAAAAAAATCGATAAAATCGATGAAAGTAACGCACGATTTTAAAAACTAATATTGTATTCGGAATCCCCATGCTCACTTACCCCCTGTGCCAACTCCCAGCCCCGTAGCTCAAATTTTGCAAAAAATCGATAAAATCGATATCGATCGATACGAAAAGTAGCCTATGACACCCGCCGGGGCCCGAAGTGTATGTGTGCCAAGTTTGGTCCCGATCGGTTCAGAACTGGAATTTTCTATTCGGAACATACGTACCCTCGATATCATCCCATATGTCTTCCCTCAACATGACGTGGATTACGTGGCTTGATGAGGCGCCGCCTCGCCTCGGGCTCGCGCCACGTTGCGAGCGCATCATTTGGCGCGACGTGGCGCTCAACACAACGTGGCGCAGGCTTTTCCACGTTCTTCTTGTTGCCACATCACGCCGAAAATGCGCACGCAACGTGGCGCAAGCCCGAGGCGATGCGGCGCCTCATCAAGCCACGTAATCCACGTCATGTTGAGGGAAGACATATGGGATGATATTGAGGGTACATACAAACAGACATACAGACAGACATACAAACAGACATTCAGCTTTATATATAAGACTCGTTCAGGCTTTGAACACTTGGAGGGCGTTTGATGATGTTCCCAACTAAGTGAACAACTAAATGAGCCCTCTTTGGTTACGATAGACTTTCAACTACTATTTCAGAATGGCCATTTCCCGAAATGGGCCTACTTCCTCTTCTGCGCTTTTCATATTCAGTGCATAAGATCAAACTATAGTGTAATGTTTCCAGTTGCATTATTCATGCACTATATTAGTTCCTCTGAAATTTCCGATTCAACAAGAAAAAGAGGCGCATTTGCAGTCAGTAGCGTGAGAAAAGAGCATTCTAATTTGTGCAGAATAAAGTGTGTCAATAATTTCCAAGCCTTGTATGGTCGATTCGTTGACCGCACGGACTAGACATCACTGCGGAACACGCGCCGCGAGGTGAAACGCTTGCTCCAGTAGAAATTCGCCATTGTACAAGTCGCTCTCGCGACAATTCAGCCGCACCGCGCGTGGTCCGCAGCGTTTGAGCAGTCCGTAAAGTCAACGAATCGACGGTATGTGTATTCGTCATTTGTTATGCAAAACAGATAGTCACTCGTGATCCTAGTTCTACTTAGGCATGCTACTCATTCATATTGCTTTCAGTGTTTTTGCGTATCTTTCGTGATGAATGTGAAAATCAGCATTCGCTGTCACTCACGTCGTTGTCGTTGTGTAGTTTTGCGTGATGCCCAATCGATCTCTTCGTTCTCGCGTGCGAAAGAGCTGGCTGCACGAAGTGGAACTCGCGATCCGAGCCGAGAACCTGAAGGCAATGACATTGAGTGTGTCGCAGCAAAAAGAGAACATCACACATTAGGAGCAAAGAGATGTGCTGAACGGCATGCCCCAGAAAAATGTGCTGCCCGTTCGCGTCACATTTTGGGCGATAGTGCAGTTACACGAGTTGCACTATTAACGGATGATTTTGCTTCTGTACCAATAAATATAGCGTGAGAGTGAATGGCAACGTTTGCATTTGCTAACCACATCTTTTGCCAAAGTAAACAACACATATATTCTGTATGTCATAACGACTTTTCTCAGCTCCAAATACTTGTTTCTGGAATACGGATACACATTATATCATAAAGATTAACGGGAATCTCAGTGCACTCTTGGACCGTAGACCGCAGAGAGTGGCCGTCATGCGGAGCACGCGACGCGCGGTGAAACGCCGGGACAGGTGATTCATGGGCCGCAGGGACTGTCAGTGTTTGGGCGGTCGCAATGTGGCTAAAATCTTGCGAGGGTACGTCTTGTACTTGGCGACATGGATGGAAAAGCGTTCCACTGTGCGCGCGTGCTCCGTAGCAACGGTCAGTCCATGCGGTCGACGACTCAGCTGTATAACACCCGCAACTGCGGCATACTGTCGCAGCAGAGCGACTTCTTGGCAACGTGCCCATCTATGCAAAAAATCGATACTAAGCAAGCGGCTGCTTTGTACTTCTTTTTTGCTCTTAATTATACAATTCTATTGCTGCTCTTTGAATCGAGCTTTTTACCCCTTTTTATCTCCTTTCCGCATCAGGGAACTCAATTCGTGCTAGAGTAGGTACCTGCACATCCTATACATGTGATTTTATTAGCTTAGTCGCGTGCCACAATTCTCCTTTACGCAGTCTAGCCGTCAAGCTTACGATTCTTGGGGAAAAAACCCGGCTTGAGCAGACAATGGCCGTAAAATTTTCATTGAGGTTACGGTGTAATTGGCGATTACACCGAAATTAGCAATTTGGACTAAGGAAAAGAACAGAATAAATTTTTTGCACAAAGTGTAATTGCAGACCAAACATCAAACTGAGCAAAAATGACGCGATTGCGCCTAGGGCAATGCACCATTAATCCCTCTCCATTGCTAAAAAAATGTTCGAGAATTTGTGCGTTAGTAACTTTGCACAACAAGATATAACTAATAACTAAATTATCACGAACGAATATACTTACCGGTCCCCTATTGATAAATCCATGCCTCTTTGCAATTTTGTGCGCATTTTCTAGCCCTGGCTCCTTAGTGTGTACATGGAAGTGATTCGTGTACACTTCCAAAGCCTCGCAAAGCGAGGCGAGGAATATGATACTCAAACAGGCCACATCCCTGTTGAGAGTTATCATACCTTAAAAACGATTTTTTGAAAAAAAAAGTTTCACGAGAAGGTACGAGGCAAACGAATTTAGTATGAAGGAGAACGACAAAGTGCGAGGATGGATGTTTAGAAATGTTGAAGATTATCTTACGAAGAAAAAAGTAAGTAGCAAAGTCAGTGTAGCACAATTCATGGTCACAAAGGTGAGTCACCGACGCAGAAAATACAAGCGATGCGTCCACTGCGGCGACGCGGTAGGACGCCATCAGGTCGCGGAGAGAAATCTTGGACAAGAGATGCAGAGACGAGAACGCTCTATGTTGAGCGCTGCTCTAACTAGAACACGAAATTACTATCAGAATACGTGAATAAGAAAAATTTATTTAAAAAATTGTTCCGACAATAAATATAGAACCAGTGAGGATGAATTTTGAAATAATTGATCAGAAGGGAAGTGCCGTAGATGCAGATTAATGAAAAAAATCGACATATAAACACTCTGAATATCCATATAAATATTGGTACGGTAAAATAGCTTCGACTGGAAATATTCATAGAAGCAATGAGAAAAGTAAAACCGCATCTAGCTTAGCGGAAGCGAGCCGTGAAAGCTAATGAATATTCATGCCCATTCATTTCTGTGACAGAAACGCCGTTGAATACAAAGAGTTAAAAAAAACGAAAAGTTAATTGACTAAGAGCGACAGACGCCACTTTGAAATGGCGATAGAAGTTGACATCACAATTCTGGAATCATCATGAATTTTTTGTCAGTATTTGATCATAATTTAGTCAATTTAGAACAATATGCAGTGTTGAAAAATTACTGGTAAAGGCGATAGTTGACGAGAACTGTTCCTAAAAGGTACGACTATTTTTCTATTTAATGCAGAAAAGTTGCTAGATCACAGGGTGTAGATTAGAGCTCGTATGCGCGCCACTTACACGCCCACTTACATTTTCAGCGCCTTCGTCTGGGAATAGTTTTTAGCCCCTCTTCAAACTTGGATTCGCATGTGAATTTACAATGTCGTCCTATTACATGCTTGCACTAAATTGAATTGGACAAGCCTGCATGTTTTTTTTTGTCTCCTGAACTTTCATGTTTGGCTTTGCTAGATTCTGGAGACTCAAAAACATTGTCTGATTCAGAGCACGTCGCTAATTCCAAGTTGTGCTAATCGCAAGCAGAGCCGGGACTCTGCATTAAATGTTTGAATCGGAATATTTAGCCGGGTGAACCAAGAAGGGGGCTCCCCCCTTTCCAGACGGATCGCGAAATTTTTGAACGTAGCCTACATAGTTTATAAAATGTTAATGATGACTTGTTTTTACTTTTAAATAATCAGAAAGACTGTCAAAATTTTTTAAAATTCAAAACACCTGTGTAAAAAAAATTTCGTGCAGAAAGCTTGAAAAAGTTTCCAATAAAAATTTTTTTGGAGGGCGTCTCGCCAAGTGCTTCATCCTACAAATTTCTCGTTGCACCTCCTCCCCCTCCCGAGAAATTTTTCCGGACCACTGATTTTTAGGATTGTGTTTCTTTTTCTGTGTAATTGCACCTTCACATAGTCGCACGCAAATTATAGGTTGGCGACTCCTACTATTTAGACACTAGTTCATAGAATTCACATTTTCTCAGCTTATAAGGAGCAAATGTGCAATCGCACATATAAATGAACGGATAAATCGACAATAAACACAAGGACGGAAATGGTTATTCATATACAATGTAATGCATAAGAAATTGTTCACCCCCCACTGCCCCTCAACAACATTAGAGAAAAGAGGTTGAAGTCGCAAGTGCAAGTGTTGCGCTTAAATGGCTGGAGTGCCAGCAAAGGCAATCAACTTCTATTCTAGAAATAATGAAGCTAATGGAGCATCGGGTCGTCGTCATGGACTACTGACTTTATGACTTTGATGCTAGGTCAATTTCTGCTCAAAACTATGTTTTAGAGAATAGTTAGATAAGAAATAATAGGCACTGGAATCTTCCCTCTCAATGTCTGTAATAGTTATTTTTTTCAATAAATATCTGTTATAATGGTTACTAGAGGGAATATGGAGTATTTATATTAAGTATAGAGTCACCTACAACTTAATATGCTTACTGCACACTATGCGCGCTATTTGACGATTTGTAAGATTAGACCTTGCTCGTTTCCAGTAATTTTTCCTTGTTTCCTTGTCTTCTTTCATTTTATTGTGTACGTATATGGTAGTAGTACAGATTTCTACACTTCGTTACGATAGAAAATGTTCTCCTGAGCAGCTACTAGTAAGGGTGACGTCGGTTGCCGCACTTTGTGTGCAGACTTACGTGAGCCACAAAGAATACAGCGAAACATATGCTATATGCTATATGCTATATGCATATGCATATGCTATATAAAAGCTGACATTTTCCCAAAGGATAAGATTCCCTTTTCCAGTCCAACTCGGTTTTTATGTTAAATAAATAAAGAGATAAGATGCTGTTTCCCAGTCCAGTATGCAGTCCAATCAAAGCGCCAAGGAACCCTTTACCCAAAAAGACGTCAATATCACCCGCAATTATGCCTCCTTTTGCTCAAATGAGCTCATAAATCAACTGAAAAACGTACAAACAAGTCTCCACAGCTTGTTTTCGAAACTCTACTCGATGTTTTCACAAACTCAATGAGCTCGGCCCAAGCGGGCGAGCGTAATCCTTGGACATGACGTGACGTAGGCGGAGCAAAGCAGCTTTCTAATGGAATATTGCGAATCGGATTAGGCTCAACTCGTTTGATACTCAGCGAGATTACGAATTGAGGAAATCTTGTGAGACGAACGGAGCATGGGAGATGTTCCGAATTGATTAGCAGAATTAGATAAACACGGAAGAAGTAGAAAAAGAACTTCTTAATCTGGTATTCAGCATTAGAAAACAGCCATTAGATTGCAATCAGGAAATTCTTTAGGGTTGAGAAGTAAATCCGTTCATTGAGATTTTTATCATATAAATACTTTTTGAAATGGATTAATGTGGAAAAAACCAAGAATTGATGACTTATGAGAACAGTGAGGACTTTAAGAACTTATTTGGTTTTAGTTTTATTGTTTTTCACAACGATTCAGGATTTGTTGAAATTTTTTGAACATTCTGGTTAACTTGACTAGTTTTTATATACTTGTTGCCTTATATCTTCACCATGTTATAGCAAACGTCAATTTTTTCACTTCCTTTGTTAGAGTGGCATTTATTTCCGCGTAGGTAACCTCTACTGCCCTAATATTCTCAACATTTGATCTTTCTTCCCTCATCCTATATGCGTTCGCCAAGAGATCATTAGTCATTCTACCGAAAAAATATTCGCAGAATTCTTCTTCCGCCAGTCTATTTTTGTCATGCATATCAATCACGCAATCTCGGATATTCTTAGCTAACACATTAGTGATAAAGATAGCCGCAAATATATATTTCTTTACCAATTTGAATTTTCGCTTTTATCGGGATGCTCAGAAGAATCAATGATGGAGAATGGGAAATGGCCATATAAGTCATGAATGGTGTTTTTTGCTTCATGATTCATGTGAATGAAAGCAGTAAAGCATAATATTATAGTTTCGAATTGAATATGTACGTTTCCCTAAAAAAACAAAAGGGTTCGGTTATATCTCCAAGTTTATGAGGCACTGGTAAATCGAATTAAAAAACACAAAGGGAAGGATCGGGCCTTCTTCACATTTTCAAATTCTCTAACTCAAATCTTTGTCGGTTCTAAGAAAAAAATAATACATGCACACATTTTTGAGGAGGCCCGGGGGGGGGGGGGAGGGGAAGGGCCGGAACATTAGAATACTTCCTTTTTCCATGAAGCTTGTAACACAATATCAAAGCGCCCCCAACATTTTCCAAACTACCAGAATTGCTCTGCAGGATACTGTAGTCTCCTCCAGTAATTGGCATAACCATGTTAGTGCCCACACATATGTCTTTTCTCAAACATAAACATGCATTCACAATTCAATAAAAAGACTCCATTCTGCATTTACAGAAAAGCTAAAGACAAAAAGCGTTTCGTCCCAATGATATTAGCACTTGTGTGAATTACACTGCCTCCTGTGAATTTCCTAAAAGTGCACTAGTGGGTGAGCTGCCTGCGTGTTTTCATAGGTTCGTTTCGGATAAGTGCAGAAGTCCTTGATGAATGTGTTATTAGAGAAGAGTGCTTCAGAGCATAGGATCGGCATGGTAAAGGGGAACAAGAAAATATGCTTGATTGGGTAACTTTTTCTGCGCAGTAAAGACCACAGATGAATAGTAAGGGGTATAATCAAACAGTAAATCTTACCAAGATTTATCCGCACAATAAGTGCTTGAACAAGTTAAAAGTACAAGTAAAAGATGGATAAAAATGGGTAAAATGGGTAATGGGTGAAAACGGGTAGATGAGTAAAAAGGCGAGAATTGTGCGTATAAGGTGCACATAAGTAGAGAATTGGGCGATAAAAATTTCTGTTATTATCAACAAGGATTCAAAATTGTATGTGGATTTCTCTCCCAACTTTAAAAAGACTTTACAGTGTCTACAGAAACAATTTTGAAACAAATAAATAAGGTATGAATAATAAACCAGACATCTTTGCAAAGTAATCGCCCATTTCTTGGATATTATGATCAAGACAAGTATGATAAATTAACTACGGAAAAAGATTGATATCGTTATGGAGCGTTTTTCATTCTTAAAAAAATCGGATAATTATTTTTTACATGGCTATCTCTGCAGTGGCCATGGAAACAAGTCGAAAACAATTGAAAAAGATATGTACAGAAACCACGCAATAGCTTTGGACAGTTATCATTTATCTTTGGAAAATTATAATCACAAGTAGAATTGCTCAAAGAGTGCAAAATTTCCGTTAACGTGACAGAATTTCCGGAATTTCGCGGAATTCCGCGACATTCATGGAAATTTTGCATGTACTGTGAGGTGTATAGTAGCACGACCACCGGAATTTTTTGAGTCAATTTTTCAATTTGTTCTCATAATAATTCACAAATTTTACTCTTTCTACATTATCGTTT